TTTATAAACATTCTCACAATATATCCGCTCCATTGGTTAGAATTAAAGATAGTAAATGTTATGTCGACGTCTACCAGGCGCCAAGGAAAGTAAATTATTTATTTTATCTCGAAACAAACAATATTGAGATGAATTGTAATCAAGAAAAAATGGAAAATTGTTATTTTCTTTAAATAGATTCGACTTCGAAATTTTTTTCTTATTTTTTCATTTATGTATTTATAGTTATGTGCAATAGGATACGAAAAGAAACGAAGAAGATGGTTCATTGTGATTATTAATTTTGTTCTTATTTCATATTACGTATTTTGGATTTGGAAATTTTATTAAAAATCTTTCGTAATTTTCGTTTTATTTAACGATATTTAACCCTTTGCGGAATATTTTCTCGATTCTATTTTTTATTTGTTTCCAGGGGAACAATTTTTTATTTTATTTCCAGGGGAACGAAAAGAAAGAGAATGAAGAGGAATCTTATTTGGAATCTGATTAATTCTCGTGTTTATGTTTTATTCTATTTTTGAGAATTTATATTTCTAACGATTTTTCCTCCATACATATTTGCTTTTATTCCATACATAATTGCGTCTTGCGAATTGTTTCTAATTCCAGGAGTACGAATGGGAGAGGATTTTATTCGAATCTAATCAATTTTCATCTTTCTATTTAATTTAAAAATTTATTATTAATAAAAAAAAGTTTATGCTATACAACTTTTTACAAATGATTCTTTGATTTTTTATAGAGGATGTTCTCTACACGAAACAAGATCATAAATATTAACGCGTAAATATTATAAATAAAAATATATTAGGAACAATATGTATTATTTTATCAAGAATTTTATTATTAAAATAATTTGTCCATGAAGGATTAATAATTTTACGATTATAAAATATTATAGATGAAATACGAGTTTAAAATATAAGCTTAAAATATACAAAAATTTGTACAAAAATTTTAAAATTCATTTCTAAATTTCAAGTATCGTTTTAAATGAATTATAAATTGAACAGCAGTTTTTTTTCCCCCAACTATTTTTTGAGCAAAAAATCGTGTCAAGTGCCAAAAGAGACGTGCGAAAATATTACAATGCCAAACTCAAGCAACATTTTAGTGGCACGTTGAAGAAGAGGAACGTGAAGAGTACCAGTATGACGACAAAAGTGACCATGTACACAATTGTACACAATTAGCGGATCATTGCTAATTAGCTGTGAAAAAAAAAAAATGTAACGATGATTATTTGACTTATATTTTATAGAAATAAAATATAAACTCGTTTTTTTATTCAACATCTCGTTCGTTTGATAAATGAAAAATATTATTTGTGTTAAAAAAAAAAAAAAAAAACGGTTTTGATTTT